CAACCGACTGGACCTATGGAAGGAAGAGGAAACCAAAAAAACAGAGAAGGTGGTGAGACAATTGGGTCAAGGGCCTCATATGTGGAAAATGGCACTACAGATGCTAATAAGCTGCCGTTTCTGTGTGCCACGATCCCCTGCTCTCCCGCGAGCTCTTTGTGAACAATGCCTAACCTGTGTGCCAAACAACCCAAGACATGGGCCCACCAGACACCCAGCAACCCAGGAAATGGGAGAACGTACTTAGGGACTTTACTGAGCTACCTCAAGCAGAAGGTATCAATATAGGCTGGTGCTTGTCTGCACCTTCTCAGGATGGGTAGAGGACTCTTTTACCAGATAGAAAAGACATGAGAGGTAACAAAGACATTGTGGAGAGACGTCATCCCGAGATGCAGACCACCTCTGACATTAGGGTCAGCAAAGGACCAGTATTCACAGCACACAGAGTTCAGGAGCTCACACAAATGTTAAGATAAATGGGAATGACACACTGCTTATTGACCACAGAGCTCTAAAAAAGTGCAGCACATGAACCGTATGCATAAACAATTGTTAAACAAATATTTCCAAGAAACCTACTTAAGATGGGATCAAGTCCTGCCCATGGTCTGCCTCCATGTCTCCATGTCCAGAGCACCCCTACCAAAAAAATTGGGTACGACCCTTATGAAACTGTATTCAGCCAGCAGCCCCCAATTATATGTCAGATAAAAAGTAACCTCTGTGAACTAGAAAAATTGTCCCTAAGGAGACAGGTGTAAGCTGTGCAAAATATCCATGGCTGGGGACAAGTCAGGGTTCCAATAAGTCTGGCATACTCAATATGACCCTTCCAACCCAAGGACTCTGCTTGGATCAAAAAGTGAAATTCACCTGGGGACAAATATGGCACAGGCAGCGTTGTCATCTTGTCCACCCTCACAGCGGATAACACTGCAGGAATCACACCTGGCATCCACCACAGTTGGCTGTAACTAGCAGCACAAGAAAGATAGATCAGCCAACCGCATCCAGGCCATGCAAACCTGCTGGTCCTACAGCAAAAACAAGGTACCACCAAAATCAGCAGCACTGCTCTAGTCACCCTGGAAGCTTACTAGTCTATGCCAGGCTAAAACTTGAGGAAATAACAGCCCTGCTCTGGTCACTCCAGAAGCGGACCCCTCCACACATGGGCAAAGCTTGAAGATCAACATAGGGTTACAAGAACAATATAAGTCTCTTTTCCTTTTCATTATAAATCTCCATCTACCCAGTAGGGACCCAAACCCCCACAACAGGGTAAATGGCAGTAAGAGTGATGCTCTCTACTTAGTCATTTATAGAAAACATCAAAGGGGGAAATGAAGCAAGATTTTAAAAGAAAAACTTAAGTTTCCCAAATTTTCCCTTCTTATAACAGTTGTTTTTCTAATACACATAAAAGCACTAAGTTTTATGTACAGTAAGTAAGTATTTTTTAAGTAACTAAGCAAAATTTTATCACCTCCTATTCTCATAACATTCTATCCCCTGGCAGGGACACCAAGACTCAGAATTCTGACAGCTTGATAAACTGCCTTGTTCTCCTTCAGCTTGCCCACAAGTTCTGAAATGAAGACCAACACCCTTGACCAAATGTACAAAGACTGGTGTCTTGGTTACTTTTCTCTCTTTGCTGAGACAAAATACCCAATGCCCAAAATGAAGGAAGGAAAGGTTTATTTAGCTTACAGTTTGTGGAGGTTTCAGTCCATACTTGGCTGGCTCTGAGGCAGAAGGTAGCAAAGCA